GATTCAGTGCAACTCCAATCAAAATCCTTGTTTTTTTGGTAGAAATTAAGCAGATGATTCTAAAATTCAGGTGGAAATGCTAATACAACTTTCATAAAGGAGAATAAAGTTGGAGGATTTATAGTACACGATTCTAAGACTTAGTATAAAACTACAGTAAACAAGATAGCTTGTTATTAGCCAAAGAAGAGATAGATAGATGAATGGAACAGAATAGAGACCCACAGGTGTATGGTGAATTGGCTTGTTGACAAAAATGCAAAGGCAATTCGTTGGAGAAAGGATAGTCTTTTTAACAAATGGTCCTGGAAGAATTGGATATGCACACGCACAAAAATTGGCTTTGACTCATGGCTTGCACTCTATATAAATAAAGTTAACTCAAAATGTATCATAAACCTAAACATATTAATAAAATCTAAATCTATAAATATTTAACATGGAAGTAGAGGAGAAAATCCTTGTGACCTTGGGTTAGGCAGATTATTTCTTAGATATGACAGCAAAAACATGATCCATCAAAGAAAAGAATGCTAAATTGTATTTCCTCAAAATTCATAACTTGTTCTCCTCTATAGATATCATTAGGAGAATTAAAAGATAACACACAGTCTAGGAAAAAAATGTTTGCAAATCATATATCTGATAAAATACTTGTATCCAGAATATATAAAGAACTCTAAAAAATTAAAACAAATAGCCCCAAATAAAATTCAATTAGAAACAAATTGGCAAAAAATGTTAAGACACTTCTTAAAAGGAGATATACAGATGGCAAATAAACACATGAAAACATACTCACCATTATTAATTAGGGAAATGCAAAATAAAACCACAATGAGATACTACCATGAAACTATTAGAATCTAAAATATAAAACTTTTAGCCATAGCATGTATAGGTGAGGATGTGGAGCAACTGGAATAATTATAGATTGCTGGTGCAAATGCAAAATGATGTAAACATTTTGGAAAAGAGTTTAGCAGCATCTTAAAAAGTTAAATATACACTTATTATAAGACTCTGTCCATTCCTAGGCATTTACCCATGAGAAATGACAGTATGTCTATACAAAACTTGCACATGAATTTTCATAGTAGCTTTATTTGTAATAGCCAGAAACTGGAAACAACCCACCTGCCCATCAAGGGGTAAATGTATCAAAACATTGCAGGATATCTATACAATGCAATACTACTCAGCAATAAAAAGTAATGAACTATGGATATGCACCACAACATGTTTGAATCTCCAAATAATTATGCTGAATGAAAAGTTAGACAAAAAGAATACATTCTGTATGATCCCACTTATATAACATTCTAGAAAATGTCAATTAATCAATAGTGACAGAAAGCAGATCTGTCAATGCCTAGGGTGTGTGGAGGGAGGGAGATGAGTGGAGGCATAAGGAAGATATGGGCGCAAGGAAACATTTGTGAGTAATGGATATGTTCATTGTATTTATTGTGATATTTTCACTGCTGTCTATGTGTCAAAACTTTTCAAATTGTATACTTTACATATGTGTAATTTATTGTGTGTTAATTTTATCTCAATAAAACTGCTTTTTTAAAAAATAAGTTTAACATAGAAATAATAAAACATCTAGATTCCCGTGAAGAAATGTGTCCAAGTGCACACTGCTGAAAACAAAATTTGCCGGACTCCTGATGAGAACAAATGCAGTTGACAACCTAAAATCCATGCCGCAGTCAAACATTACCTGAACAAAGTGTGCCCCTCTACCAGTGGCATCAGCATTTACTGGGGGCTGGTTAGAAATGCAAATTCTCAAGCTCCATAGCTGACTTACTCAATCTAACTCTGGTGGTGGGGCCAGATCATCAGTGTTTTAATAAGCTCTCCAGGTGCTTCTGATGCAAGCTAAAGTTTTAGATTTTCTGACCTAAGGTATTTCCATTTTGACAATTGCCAAAGATCCATCTTCTTCTCCTGTTTACAGTACATCACATATTTCTTTGTGCTATATAATTACAAAAGCAAAACAGAAATTACACAAAATAGAAGACAAAATAGCCTATAATCGCATTACCAAATCAAATCATTGTTTTCATTTTGTTTATGAAGGGTCTTGTCTTGCCCATGTATTCATATAATTTTTATAATATTATAGTCTGAAATAATTTTAATATCAATTGTTACAGCAGTTCTGATTTATATTTTTCCTATCCTCATAAATTTAATTTTTGCCTGTTCATTTTATATCTTCCTTGAGAAACTATACTTAAAATATTTTTTTCCATTCCCGTGATCATGCAACTTCCTTATTGTGATTATAAAGTGCCCTTCCTGTAAAATGGTAACGTTTTTATGGGTGCTTTTAACTCACAAACTAGGGACTACTCAGTAAATCAGATTGTTATCTTTCTTAGTATCAGTTTATGATATATAAACCAGCTGTATCACAAAAAGTTATTCTTTGTGTAATTTCTCCTCTTATTTTTTTAATTTTGGGCAAAAGCACGTGCCATAAATTGTATGTAATTCATTAAGGAAGTTCATTCACTGATTGAATATTTACTGAGTATTCTGTTGGGTACTAAGAATACAAGTTTGAAGAAGACATGATTGATCAGATGAAGAAGTAATTGAGAGGGTGGAGTCAAGGTTACTACAAATTTCTGGCTGGGGTAGCTGGATTGTGCTATTGCCTGGAATAGGGAAGATGATAGAAAATGAATTCAGTGTTGTTTATATCAAGTTTGCTCTTAGGAAAATTACAAAACTTATCTTTTCCCTGATTCTTCATATATAAAATGGAAATAATAATAGTATCTACCTCATTATCATTGGGAGGATTAAATAAGATAAAACATGGAGAGTTTAGAATAATCTTTGGTACATAGAAAACACTCAACGCATGTTAGCTATTATTGTTGTTGAGTTTTAGGTGACTGTGTAATATTCAAGTGGAGATGTTTAAGACAGTTGACTATGGAAGCCTAGCTTTTAGGAAAAAGAGTTGATATTTGAGATTTCTCATAGAAAGAGAAGAAGGTCAAAAAGGAATCCAGTGTAATACCAGTATTTCAAGGACAGGCACAGAGAGAGAGACATATTGTTCCATGACGGAAATATGAATGATTTTATTATCCAAACATGGACAGGCAGCATAAATCAGTTTTTTTTTTAAAGTTTGACCCCTAGAAATAGACACACTAAGCCATTTTCTGTTTGTGAGTGTTAGCAAATTACAGTAAAGTCTAGAGTAGCTGTAAGGGTTAAATGAATGGCTAACAACAGGTAGCAAAGGGTGGGCACCAACAAATACCCTGTTCACACGAGCCTTCTATAGTTTCTACGTTAGTAAATTTTCTACCTTTCAAAGGCTCAGATTGCTCTTTCAATTCTTTTGCTACTATCCAATAGCTGTTCTTCTATCTTTCTTACTATAACATTGGTCGTTTGCTAGGTAAGACCACAACGTTATTTGACTATGGCACGAGGAGATTTCAGGATATACCATTTATAGATATATAGTTTTATTAATACCAACACAATTAAGCTTTTTGGCACTGTCCACTTTCAGTTGCTAGCTGGTTCCTCTCTTATCTGTAGCCCAGATAGCAGTTTTGCTTCTGAGAAAATACAGCTTTCTTCAAAGTATTATCTTCAAGTTTTGGCAGAGGTATGCTCTAAATACCAGCTGAGATCCCAAAATTTAGTTGTTTTCCACTTATGGAAATCTACTCTAACTAGATTTTTTTCCTTCTTGCTTTCTTTCTGACTGGAACTTGTGATCACATTTCTGCTATAAATTCTGTCAGTAACAGTTTATGTGACAATTTGAGGCAAACCAGCTCTAAAAATTTTTAATCTTTTAGTTTTTCCCCTCTTGCTCTTTTTTATTTAAAATAATTGGGTAGAGGTTGATGAATACTTAAATTATCATAATTTTATGAGTAATTGAAACAACAAAGGGATATATTCTAGAAAATATAAAATGTAGTAATATGTCAGTGATAATTATTGTCAATGCTACAGGAATGTTTCTACCTATCATTAATTGGCTAACATTTACTTCATTAGCTTTAAAGTAATAAGTGGAAAGTGACCAAAGTAGTCTTTTCAAAGTACTTATATTTATTATAGGGTGATTATTGAATCATTTAATACAAAATTATCTAAGCTCTTTAGACTACACCTAGTACTTGCAATACACACACACACACACACACACACACACACACACACACTTTGGGTGTCACAATAAAAGTCTATTGTACCTTAATCTCTAGGGGTGTGTGTCTTCAATGGCCCATTAGTCAGTTGCCTTGTAGATACGGATGCTTTTTCTTTCTTAGTTGCTGCCCACGTTGTCACTGTAGGATCTGGTTCCTACAGGGTTCCCAGAAAAAGGTCTGGACGGAGGCAGCCTTTAAGCCAAGTAGAGAAACTGCTTGTAGCCCTGCAGTTGGAGGCATGTGCCATGGAGCTAAGAGGCCTCAGGATTCTTAAATTTCATAGTGGTGAATTCTCTTTCTGTGATTGGATCCCCTAGGGGTGTGAAAGCTCATATCCTTCCTATGATTGGCTGTATGCAAATTAACTAACCCTAATATGTTAACAACAAATCTGGGAGCTTCTTTGATGGTTTCCTTTTACGCTTCTTCATCCCTGCCCCATAAGTCCTTTTTTCATGTAATCCTTACAGACTTGGTTTCCTGGATTTATTGTCATCTTCCCTGTTAAACTCTCAATGTCAACATGTTTAAATCTCACTTCATCTGTGATATGCTTTTTATCTTTACAAGAAAGAAAGAGATTACATTACCATATGTGATATAATTTGGGGATGGTTTGTATTTTTCCCCTCACATCTTACAAGTTTCCCCATGTTAGTAAATATTGTGAATTTAGTATCATTAAATTACGTTAGTTTTGTCTAGGTAGTCATTTGATCTCTTTGAATCTCAATCATGCTTGTGTTTGAAAATTCACAAATGACCTTACCTTTCATTCTTGTATAATTGCAGGGAGAGAGAGGGTTTCCAGGTTTGGAAGGCCATCCAGGTTTGCCTGGATTTCCAGGTCCAGAAGGGCCTCCAGGGCCTCAGGGACAAAAGGTATGTGTCAAGTTGCCAACCAGTAATACCAGATGAATTAAGCCATCTTAAATGTGGGAATAGGTGTCAAATCAACTAAAAAGTTACTGAATTATAGCCAGAAACTAATATTTAAATGAAACAATGGAAGTCTATACTTTATTGTTATTTTTTTTAAACTGAATATTATTGCCATATTCAAATGCTTTTGGGAGATGCTGTTAATTGTATGTGCTTATTGGGATCCTGAACAAAAATTAAGTTTATCAGGAGCTCAGCTAAGCTGGAGAGAGCTGAGCTGCCAGATGTTACAGTAGTTGATTAAGACAAGAAGCCAAAATGAAAGTAATAGTCAAGCCTTTACTCATTGACTGCTGTATTGTAAGCAAGAAGTTAAGGTGGAAAAAGTGCCGATTCCTCCACTGTTCCATTTTTCCCTATGGCACAGCACCAGCAAGGGTCAGGTGTATCAGCACAGATTTTGGGGATGATTTCACTGCTGAAGAAACAAAAAGCTCCTGCGGTTGTATGGACCCAGGGGTGTGGTGGGAGAAGGAGAAGGGCTAGGAGTGGAAAAGTACTGAGTCAGAGTGCAGAAAAAGTATCTTCAAGGTTTAACCCTCCTCCCATTAGGAGGTCTCCACTGAAGGCCCCAGATAAAGAGTGCAATTTGCACAGGAGCATGGCCAGCCAGGGGGAGCTTGAGTCTTTGACAGAAACTTCCTTCTGAGACAGCAGTATATCATATGTGCACCAAGTCTCGTATAGGGAGGGCAGCCGTCCTCCATGAGGCCTACAATGAAGCCTTTGGTTGGGCATGAAAAATCACATATAGGTGTCTAGACAGGAGCCAGATTCCTCAATTCTACCTTTTGATTTTTCAGGACCTGAGTGAGAAACATAAGCTGCCCCATCATGAACCTGAGTGGGTTAGACTTTAAGGGGCTATGTCATAAACTGGATAATTAGTCTGAGGCCACAGTGGACCATGGTCATGATCAATCATATTCCAAGCTAAATGATCAGGCTTGCCTGGAGGACTGAATGTAACAATGGGCCCTAGCTATTGCCAAGCCAGGAATAGATGTTCTATGGCTCACATGATCTACTTTAGAGAGCCATGAGGCTTTTTTCTTAAGTCTTATGATAGACTGTTTTACTTTGACAGTCTCAGTGATCTAGGTGCAACATGAAGGAGATGCTGGCAGTTGCTCAGACCTCTCCTTAGTTTGCCAGCAGGAAGTTGAGGACTATATGATTATCCAGCACTACTTGGGCTGAGGAATAGGGGCTAGTCTGTTGTGCTTCCAAAGCTGAAGTAGTGTCATTAATGACCTCAGCAAGGGTCAAGACAGGTTTTGCACAACCTTTTCTAACTGAATGACCCCTGACAAAGGGAAAAGTTGTCTGGAGCATACACATGAGTAGAGAGTAGATAATGCCATCTGGCAATTGTCCTGAATAACCAGGGTCTATCTGGTTTTGGGTAGAGTTTCCATTTTACTCTATGTAGTGTGATATGCTTAATGAGAGGGGCTGTTTTGAATATTTGAGAGTCTCTTATCAATGCCCTGTACATAGATGTTATACTGGTAGAAATGTTGAAAGCCTGATTTTTCCAAAAGAAATAATACCTCAAGGGGAAGGCACAGAGTCCTGGGAATGTAATATTCATTGATTACTATAGGGGTCAACCAGCCAAAAGTCCCTCCTGGTGGGCAGAGTACTTGAGTGGAATTGGAAAATTTGTGTAAAGTGGGGGCAGGTATAGAGCAGGAAAAGGTGCCACTATTAAACCCAAAATGGCTCCAATGGCAGATCCTACATCCCTTTTCCCCATATGTTTCAGTTGTTCCCATGTTGGACAGGAGCCATTTGACATCTGAGGAGGCATCTTATTCCTGTGGTATCAGAGCCCAATTGTGGCAATGTATCAGGTCCAGAGTAATAAGGTTGGGGTACCTTAGGTACTAAAATGGTCCATGTTTAGGGGAACATCCGTTTGTAGCATTCAGCAGCACAGCAATCAGGTGTTTATCTGCAGGGTTAGGTGGTAGGTGACATCCAGCAGTTTGTCAAATTCAGAGTAGTTGCAACTATCTGGGACAGGTGTTATCAATGGATTTGGCAAGGTGGAAGTCACATGATTACTCTGTGAGAGAGAGAGAAGAGGGGTTAGATCCATACCCCCATTCTCTATACCCAGGCTCATGGATCTGAAGGTGTTCCCATCCCGTCAGTTGGGAGGACTGTGTCCATTGAGTGTACTGTCGGCAGTTTTTTCTGTGCCCAAGAGAAAGGATAGCATCTTTATGTGCATGTTAAGATAGGGAATAGGAAGATATAATAGTGAATTTTAAGATTGGGAGAAGTTTGCGTTTTTTTCTTTTAATGGCTTTTTTGGCTTAGTGCCCTTTTCCATCTATTTTAGGTGTACTGGTGAAATGATATATGAAGGGGCCAGTTCTGTTCATTTGCCTGGAAAGGAAAACTGGCTTAAAAACCTTTTTTCCTAATTTTATTATTTTAAATAATGGTGGTACATCATGTCATTAGAGTATTAAGGAAATCAAATGGATACTTACCGGGTATTCCTCCCAATAAAGGGAGAAAATTAATTTAAATGCATGAATACTTTTTAACTATACCAGAGATTAGATTTTGGGAGAACGTTGGCCATGATCTCTGGGAAGGTAACAGTACATCAGGTAGTTTTGTTAGATTCAAGAGCAAAAGGGACCTGTGCTAAATTTCCTGAGTAGAACTTTAGCACTGAGGAAAGAGCAAGACCCTAAATTACTGCATAGATTTTCCATAGATGGGCCATTCAACTGAATTTCCTGTGTGTAATGACACAGCAAGAGCAAGAGCAGCAGAATGATTCTTGGGCATCCAGTAGTACACAAGAAATAGCAGAGAAGTCTGAAAGAGTCAGTGGGTGGAATCGAGCACTAACTCAGCAGCAATCCATGCAGACTATTGACATGGGTCATCTCAATGAATTTCAGTTTGGACTAAGCTGTCCCACTCCTGAACACATTGGAACCACTTAAGCTCTCCAAAATTTAGGCACAATTTTGTGAAAATGAGGTGGGAACGCCAATGGACTGAGATTAAATTTCAGCCATGTTATGGAAGTAGGTGCTTCCTACTTCCTACTTTCTTGGAATAGAAATTAAGTTGATCCAGAGAAAAGTTACATTTCTTGCTTTTGAGTTTACCTGGGATTAGGTGTTGGGATTTTTGCACACCAGACTTGCTGAGAGGTGGCAACTTTAATAAAGATTTGTGTCAGATTAAAAGAAGTTACTTAAATCAGAATTCCTTTGAAATAAATTAGTATTAGCTGGGACTATTCTACAATAGTATGATAGTTTATAAAAGTGTGCTTATATGCAGTTTATGCTTAGAAAGCAGTCCAGTCTTTTGTTCCATTTCAACATCTGTAAAGTGAGAAGGTAAACTGCTTTCTAAACTTTCTGGATTTTCAATTTGCAGCACTTTGTATTTCATGTTTCCCAAGATAGCTGAATTTATACTTTTTATGTGATTGGGTATCCTGGTACATGCGTATGTTAACATATGTACTAAATCAAAAATTTTATAGGATTATTCTTTAATCTGTACACTGTTATATATGAAAGTAAAGATACATAAAACACATATATGTATATCTACTTATGTATGTAATTTTACAAAGTTTTTTATTCTTAAAAATAAAATTCTGTTCATTTTCGATAAACAATATATTCCCATAATTCAAAATAAATTAACATAAGAAAATATACGATGAAAAAAATCACCTTCCCACCTATACCCATTAGTCACTGAGTTACACAAACACTTTAACTCCCTATGTTTATAAAATAATAACATATTCAACGCATTTGTTTTTCACTTAATATACATTGTAGATATCCCATGTCAGTATATATAGAACCTCCTCAATTTTTATAACTGCATTGTATTTCATTGTGTATATATACCATGATTTATTAAACCAGTGCCCTGGATGATCATTTAGGTAATTATCAATATTTTGCTCCTACAAACAGTACTGCTAAGATATATTATATAACTTTGAATAGATATCCTTTTACCCATAAGGGATTAACTGTGTAAGATAAATCGTTACAAGTGATATTGCTAGATCAGAAGATACTTGCATTTATGTATTTTTATAGATATTATCAAATTGCCACCTCAAAGTTGTATGATTATCCTAGATTCAGCAATAGACGAGATCTATTTCCCTATAACATCACCAACACTGTTATGAAACTTTTGGATTTTTGCCAATCTGATAGATGAAAAATAGTCTCTCAATGTACTTTTAATATGCATTTCTTTTTATGAGCAAGAATAAGCTTTTCATAGGTTTAAGAATCATTTCTTTCCTATGACATGTCTATTCATATCATTTGCCTATTTTCCTACTGGGTTTTTGGTGTTTTCATATTTCATTGAGTTATTTATATATTAGGGAGATTAGCCCTTTGTCTATAATTGCAGTTACTTTCCCCTAGTTTGTCATTTGTCTTTGCTGTGTGTGTGCATGTATGTCTTTGTTTTTCAAAGATATTCTCCTTTATGGCTTGTGGATTTTGAGTAGGAAATGCCCTTCCCAGTATAAAATTATATAATAATTCTCATGCTTTCTTCCAGTATTTTAATGACTTCCTTTATTATACGTAAACATTTTACTCATGTGGATTTTATCTTGGTGTATAGTTTGTGATATAAGATCCACCTTTATTTTTTTTCCAGATGGTCTCACAGTGTGTCCCAACATCATTTCCCCCCACTGATTTGCAATGCCACTTTCATTATGTATAAAATTCACAAAAATATATAGATTTGTTTCTGAACCTTACATACTCTTCCAATGGTTTGCTTATTCAAATATGAGAACCAAGCCATTTTAATTATTGAGGACTAATGCTATATTTTTATATCTGGAAGAGTTAGTGTCCCTTCATTGCTCTTTTTTTTTCCAGAATTTTTCTCAATATTCTTGCTCGTTTATTTTTACATACGAACTTGAGTCACTTCGTCTAGTTAAAAAATACTCACGTTATTTCTATTTTTATTGTATCAAATTTTAATTAAATTTGTTGAGAATTGACTTTTTAAAAGTTGAGTTCTACTATGCAAGAACATGGAATGCCTTTCCATTTGTTCAGGTCTTCCTTTGTGAATTTAGAAGTGTTTTAAACTTTTCTTCTTATTAATATTGTATATTTCTTGGTAAGTTCATTACTAAATATTTTATCTTTTTTGTTATTGTAAATTGGATATTTTCTTCCATTATGTCTTCTAACTGCTAGTTGTTGGTGTAGGAAAGCTATAAATTTCTCAATATTAATTCTATACATAGTTATCTTACTGATTTATCTTATTGATTATAGTAGTTTTTCATTTAATTATCTTGGGTTTTCCAGGAATACAATCATATCACTTGCAAATAGTGGTAGTTTTACCCATTCTTTCAAATTTTTATACCTATAATTTCTTTTTCTTTATTAACCATGTTGATTAGTACAACCAGTACAATATTAAGGCATTCTTATCCTATTTCTGCCTTCAGTGGTGAGGCACAAGATTCTTTGAATAAAATGTTCTTTGAATTGTCTTAAAGTCAAATTCGATAACTTTTAATCTCCTAAGAAATGCATCTGTTGTGGCAAGAGTAGATGATTAAACTTTTGTAAAAACAAGCTATGGTAGGCAGAATAATGGCCACCCCCCAAAGATGTTCATGTCCTTATCCCGAGAATCTGTGAATATGTTAGTTTACGTGGCGAAGCAAAATTAAGATTGCAGATGGAATTCAAGTTGCTTAATCAGTTGACATTAAACTAGGGAGATTATTCTGGATTATATGGGTGGGCCAGTGTAGTCACAAGGGTCCTTTAAATGTGAAAGAGGGAGGAAGAAGAGTCAGTGTCAAAGTGATGTGATGTAATATGAGAAAGACTCATAAAGCCATTGCTGGCTTTGAAGATGGATGAGGGCAATGAGCCAAAGAATGCTGGTGGCTCTGGAAGCTGGAAAAGGAAAGGTGTCCCGACCCGCGGGGTAGTCAACGCGGACCCTGGAGGGGGGAGTGGGAATTGGGAGAGGCAGGAGACACAAGAAATGGAGACAAGACAGGAGTCTGATCAAGTCTCGTTTATTGGCAGGAAGGCAGAGGCTTAAGTAAGGCAGAAAGAGTAACAATAAAGGGGTGGTGCTTTCCCAGGCTCTGGCTTTCCGGCCAGAGGGTTTCTATATAAGGAAACCCTCAGGGGCTTTCAAGGGCTACATAGTTATAATGGGTAAACAGAAACTTACAAGCTCTTCCGCAGGCTTTTGCAAATGCGTGGGCTTGGTAAGCAGCTGCCGGGCCTCATGGCTCAGGACAGAAAGGAAATGGATTCTCCCCTAGAACCTCCAGAAAGTAACACAGTTCTTCCACTGAGACCCCTGTCACACTTCTGACTTCCAGAACTGTAAGGTAATAAATTTATGTTATTTTAAGCCACCGAATGTGTGGTAATTTGTTACCGTAGCAGTAGAAAACTAATACCCTGGGTAACCCTTTCTCCAAATGAAACTTTACATGGAAGCATCACATAAAACAGATGAAAATAGAGCTGCTGTCATTGAAGGAGGGCTATAACATAAACCTTGAAGAACCTCCAGTGGAAACTCTTGCGTTGCGAGTTCAGTGGCTTAAAAACCACTTTTATAAATCAAGGTGTTCTGGTTTAATTAAAGCTATCTAAAGCCTCATGCAATGGCCTGCTAACTATGTGTTACACTGAAATTTCTTTCCCTTGAAACAGAATGAGGTTTTTAAAATTCAGTTTTTAAAGAAAATAGTTAGTAAAAACTCAGTGAGGTAAGACTTCAAATTCTCAGCAATGCAGTTGTGACTAGAAATGGGTAAATAGATTAACACATATGTGAATAGCCTCTTTTGCGTGGAGTTGACAGCAGAAGGTAGAAAGCAAAGTGCATGGTTCTTTCTCATTCCTTCTTAAGCTCTGCCCATAGAAAGTGCCTTACAAAAGAAAGTAAAGGTTTAAAATAGCAAATTCAAGAACAGCACCTATTTGGGCTCAGAGATGATGATGCTATTTATTACCAGCATGGCAAGAAATTGACATAATATGGAAACTGCCCAGATTTTCAATTCTTATTTTGTTTATGAATAGATGATTTGGGGAATATCTATGCTCCTGTTTCATCTTTGTTTTCTTGCATGATTCATAATTAACTTCACAGGTATAAAGTCTTATCTACATGTCAGCAGTTTCCTTCTCAGTAAATAAAGGTCTTTCTTATTTTTGGTCATATAATTTACCTCAGTGCCTTCAGTCTCAATAAAAAATGCTTCTTCCTTAAATGTGTAAGTTTCTCACTAACTTTCACAAAGGTTCACAAAAATTTAAGTCTCTGATTTTATAATCAAAAATTCATTATTCGAAGGCTCTTTTTGAAGGAAAAAAACTAATATATTGTATTTTTCAGGGTGATGATGGAATTCCAGGGCCACCAGGACCAAAAGGAATCAGAGTAAGTAAAATTTGCTATATGTAAAATACTTTGTTGGTAAAAGCAGATAAAAAGTAAATGAAGTATTATGAGACAACTGGAAAACACTCGTATTAAAATGCAGGGAGAAAAAAACAGTCTTTAAAAAGTTATATTTATATGTTTATTGGCCACATGTCTATCTTCTTTTGAAAAGCTTCTGTTCGTGTCTTTTGCCCACTTTTTAATGGGGTTGCTTGATTTTTTTCTTGCTGATTTGCTTGGGTTCTTTGTAGATTCTGGTTATTAGCCCTTTATCAGATATATACCTTGCAAATTTTCTGTCCTATTCTATAGATTGTCTATCTGTTTTGTTGATTATTTCTTTGGCTGTGCAGAAGCTTTTTAATTTAATCAAGTCCCATTTATTTATTTTTCTTGTTGCTGTGATTGCCTTTGTGGTCTTCTTCATAAATTCTTTGCCTAGGCCGATATCTAGAAGAGTTTTTCCAACATTTTCTTCTAATATCCTTATGGTTTCATACCTTACATTTAAGTCTTTTATCCATCTTGAATTACTTTTTGTAAGTGGTGAGAGGTATGGATTCTGTTTCATTCTTCTGCATATGGCTATCCAATTCTCCCAACATCGTTTATTGAATAGGGTTTCTTTTCCCCGGTGTATGTTGTTGTCTCCTTTGTCAAAGATCAGTTGGCTTTATGTAGGTGGTTTTATATCTGAGTTTTCTCTTCTGTTCCATTGGTCTATATCTCTATTTTTGTGCCAATACCATGCTGTTTGGGTTACTATATCCTTGTAGTATATAATTTGAAGTCTAGTAAAGTGATGTCTCAGATTCGTTCCTTTTGCTTAAGATTGCTTTGGCTATTCAGGCTCTTTTCTGGTTCCAAAGTGTAGAATTATTTTTTCTAGATCTGTGAAACACGATGTTGGTATTTTGGGAAGGATTGCATTGAATCTGTATAATGAACACTCTCTGGGTGATGGGCACACTTATAACCGTGACTCAAGCATTATAAAAGTGATTCCTATAACCAAAAATATTTCTTACTCCCATAATACTTTGAAATTTTAAAAAAAAGTTATATTTAGAATTGGTATTTGTCTGTAATTAGTGTCTCTTCAGTATTCTGATAGTTATTTTCATATAGCTAAATATCTATTTAAACTAATATAAGAGAATTTTTAAAGTAGCTTATTGTTAAGAAATACGAAAGTGCTAAATTCTAAGAATTTGTCAGTTTGTTAAAAATCTATATCATATAGTTGGTTAAAACCAGAACTTTCCAGCAAGTGTGGTCATCTCAGTCTTCTAGGGTTCAGAAAGCTAGCTACCTCAGGCTGTATAACCTCCCAGTGTACCATGTATAAATAATTTTTTTGTGTATCTTGAAGAAAATAAGTTTAGTTTAAGCCACTATGTTAAAGAATAACTACTTTGGGAAGAATACATTTCCTCAATTCTAACATGCATGATTTTTCAAGTTTTAAAGTTCTGAATATCAGAATACATCTCAAAATTGAAATTTAGTATAATTCTTTCCTCAAAAGCTTTTAGGTCAACATACATCTTATAGTGTGTTTTAGAACTGAGAGGAAACTGTAGTTTAAAAATAGTACTGGCTTTTCAAAAATCATATTTAACTTTCTTGAGCCTCAGTTTCTTCATTTATTAAGTTAGAAAGATAAATAGTACATTCTCCAAGGTCCCTTTTAGCTCTGAAATTCTGTGTTCATAGATCAATGAGGCCCCTTAATTTGAATATAAAATACATGGGCGGTGATATAGCATGTTTATATATGTGACAAAGACAACCAAACATTCTGCTCTTTAGATCTTCAGAAATTTAGTAGATGTACAAATTTTACAAATGTCAAAAACATTCTGTTTGCTGTTTATATACTTCTTAATATGTGGCCTTATGTACTTCTTATGATTTGCTGCGGGTAGGGTACTAGAAAAGCAGGGAAGCAACTCAAAACGGTTTATTTTAGTAGATATAATTCTTTGATTTTTCCTAAGAAATGGATATCAGGATACTATTAAAAAGCTCTTCATAATAATCATAACATATCTATAGCTCTCATTAACTATATCTTAAACACTATTGAGACTAAAAAGAACTGGCCATTTTATCAATTCCCATTTCCAAGTATCTGGGATTGCTTGGATAGTCCATGTAGCTCAACTAGAACTTTAGAAGTGCTTGGGAATAGGTGACCTAGTAGTTCTTGTGTCCTCAGGTGTCAACTCACAGGCAATTCTTGACAAATTTTTAAAGACTTACTATTGCAGAAAATTTTAAACATATACAAATATATGGAGCATATAGTACAATGAACCTCCATGTACCCATCACCCAGTTTTAAAAATTATCAACATTTTAACAATTTTGTTTAATCTATACCCCACCACTTATTTTTTGGAATGTTTTGTAGTAAATCTCTCACATCATTCGTTCCACCAGTGACTACTTGAGTATGCCTCTTTAACTGATAACCACATAACTACTAAACTATTATCACACCTTCAAAAGTTAGGAATAATTTTTCAATATAGTTTAACCCTCAGTCTATATTCAGATTTCCTCAATTGTCTCAAAGATGTCCTTTTACTATTATTAATAGTTTGTTCAAATCACGATCCAACCAGGTCCATGTATTGCATTTGGTTGCTGTGTTTCTTAAGCCACTTTTATTATTCCATTGGAGAAACTGGGTCACTTGTGTTGTACTGCATTCCACATTCTGAATTTGGCTGATTGCTTCCTCAGGATGTCATTTAAATTGTCCTTCTGTCCACCATATTTCCTGCAAATTGGATGTCACCTTGGAAGGGGCACTAGGGAACTTTCTGGGGATGTAGGAAGCTGTAAGCTTAAGATGTGTGTATTTTGCTGTATGTAAATCATACTGCAATAAAATTAAAGCAAATGGAAAAAAGACTACTTTGTAGGGTGTACTGTGTACTTTCTAATGAATTACATCATGAGGCATGAATATCTGGCTATCCCAGGTTTTGGATGCTAGGTTTGATCAGTGATCTCAGGTAATGTCAGCTTCATTCTGCCATTAAAAATTTCCCCATCAACTTTCACGTAGTAGTTTGGCATCCATTGATGGTCATTATTTTATTCATGGTTGCAAAATGGTGATTTTTAAAATTCTATCAGTCTTTTATTTATTAATTGGAATTTTAATTTATCAGCTGGAATTCTAATGGGGTAATGAGTTGCTATACCAACAACTTTGAGTGGTGATCAGGGAAGGTTTTTTGAATTTTTTTTGCATTATAAACACGTGGAATTTGTGTGTTTCAATCAATTGTAGTCATTTGTTTTTGAAACCAGGATTGTCCCATCTTTGGTCTTTGAGAGCGCCTTCACATTGGCTCCTGTCCTGTGTCCTTTCAACAAAACTCCAATGATCTTTGATGACTTCCATGCTTTCTAACCATGACAAGCCCTTCCAGGCTCATCTTCTGCATTTCCTCTTTAGATCTAAAACGAGCCATGTCTCTGAATCCAGGTTCTTTGTGGTGAAAAATGTGATTTAGATGCTACAGTCTGTATGTTAGGTGTTTTCATGGCTACTGAGTTTGTCATTGTTGCAGTATCTTTTTAGTGGACAGAGTTAGGAAATGTGTATTTTTTAAGAGAAGAGATACCATGAGTTGATATTATTACTTTCAATTGAAATTTAAAATAAAAAGGATTTTATATACTTACTATCCACCCCCTTCATCTCTCTCTCTTTGTTAAGGTAAAAATCTTGATTCCTAATGACATTACTATAACTTCTTATTTGCTTTCCCCTACAATATGGCTATAATAGCTTCAAAATAACAGTTTATAAATTAACAAAATAATAATTTCAATTTTAATATTAATGATAGGATTCTTGAATGCCATTATTTCTTTGCTGTTTTTTCCCTTTGAATTGGCCACTTCCTTATCTTCTGCTGAATTCATTATTTATCACAAACCTGGGAGAACTTTATCTGTTAGAAGAGACATTTCATCTACTAATTTGCCTGCTACTAAGTGCAATGAAGACAAGCTCCCTCAAATAGGAGTTTCTTTTATAATTTTATATAAAAGAGACTTAAACACATATAAGAGATTTTTCTCTAATGTTTAAAAGAACAGTGAGTAGTAATAATCAATGGGACACATTTTGTCCATTTCTATTCTAAAAATAATTTTCATACTACCCTTAGGTAGAATATTATTTTATTGTTATTGGTCGATACTTGGTTCAAGAATTTATTTCTTCTTATAGGGTCCTCCTGGACTTCCTGGATTTCCAGGGACACCAGGTCTTCCTGTAAGTAGGATTCACTTTTTGTTTTAAAATCCCTTAAAAAGTAATCTAATAAATATTATACATGTGTTGTGTCCCTTTTCAAAGGGAATGCCAGGCCATGATGGGGCCCCAGGACCTCAAGGTATCCCTGGATGCAATGGAACCAAGGTGAGATTTCTTCAACTTAATCTTAGGCAATATGCTTGATAATAATAAATTTAAAAATCTAAAGAAATCACTATGAAGAATGGTGAAGAAGAGATATAGTGGCTTTGTGTCTAGGACATACATAGGGTATGTTCTGACTTAACATTTTCAATATATTGAAGCATTAGTAATTTCCTTAAGTATATGTAATAAGCTGGGAGATTGCATAGTGTTGAAGATTACTTACCAAATCCTTTTGTGGCTTTGGTGTACAGTAGGATAAGAGTTATAAAGGAATTAGGATATATATGTTTCAAATATTATACCAGTTGTTGAGAGTAATAGTTGGGAATGTCATTCATTAGCTTTGCTTTTTTAAAAATCTAGATACAATTTAAGTTTTCAAGTATTTCATGTTTTTAAATTTTTTCAATTTGTCTAATGGCTTCCTTAAGACAAATCCTAAAAATCTATACATAGCAAATATATATATATATTTGATATGTACAGCACATCAATTTTTACTATAAACTGTTATGAAATCTGAAACTTTCTCCATCAGCAAAAATGATGCATTTAATAATTTTTTAAAAACAAAAACTTTATATATACCAAACATTTTTTCCTGACCCACTTGTCTTTAGTCATCTCTTTGGGTTTAATATAAAGTAATAGATAGCAAGGAAAAAAAAATAAGGAAAATTTGCTCTTCTTGCAAGCTTACATATTATAGCCTCTGTTCTTATTCCCTTACTTTTCTCTTTTTCCTTTAGGTTAATGCAATATATTATTATTGTCTGTATATCCTTTTGGCATTTTCCATTTTGCACATAATATTCTGTAAAAATATTCAAAAAAATACCCTAGATCTCTCTAACTAATGGCATGTGCCAGATTTCATGTCGAGGTATATATTTCAAATAACTTCAGTAAATGATTTTGCATTACAATGGCTATATTTTGTGAGAATTACTGTTTTATATACTTGAGGACAATACAATTCTTTTTATCTCCAATATGTCTCCAGATCAATGTGACCTTTATCAATAATAATAATTACTGTTATTTTTTAAAATTTTGGATTTGTGAGGTTTAATTGTATTCTTCATTTCAGCTGGTGCAACCTTACGGTGTTGGGGCCTATGTGGAGTTAGTTTGCATGACACATTCATGTTAAAGTGGACTATATTTTTGTGCCAGTTCTGGTTATTTTTTTTGTCTTTTGCCATCATGCTTTAAGCAACAAACAGATCTGCTAGCTAAAAGTTTTAAATTTGAAGGACAAATGTTTCTATACATATAGTATGCTATATGATTAAAGGGATCTTTTCTTTTCCTTTTTGTAAAACAGCACCTTAGCAAATCTAATAATTGATTTGTGTTTCAGGCCCCCACTTATGTGAGCAACAAATTCTAAACAAATTAAATGGATTTATTATGCATACTTTCAGACTGAATAGTTTTCTTATATTTCTTACTATGTAAGTAAAAGAATGAACCCTAGAGTTTTAACCATAATGTATGGGTTCTTTTTTTCCTTTCTCCTAAACTTAATGTACAGGCCACTTCCTTTTTCTCTGAGCCTGCTTTTTCTATGTGTAGAAATTGGTAGAGAGTGGGGTATTAGACAATAACTCAAAGATACACAACTGTACTAATTTCAGTCTTTCCATCCTTCTGATGAAGTTTCTAGGATTACTATGGCATATAGATATTTGAAACGAGGATGCGTTGGGGTTCTTCTAGAGCAATTTTAGCTTTTGTTTTCTAAACCAAATGTCCATATTAGCACTTTACAATAGTGAGAAAAATTGGGTGCCTAGAAAACATAATGACCTGCAATTGCTAGAACTATTGTTCTTATTGTCCTCTTGATGATATTAATGGCCTTCTTTTTTACCATCTTTTCCTCTTTACAAAAAAAATTTGAAATAGTTTATAATAAAAGAAAAATGCAATAGGGCAGTTAAAATAAGAATCTGTATAACACATAGGTAGGAAATTGGGCCAAATCATTAACTATTAAATGTGATTGTCTTGAAATGGATTTGTCAGAGGAAAATGACTGGAGTAGAAGATTTTTTTTCTTTATTTCTGATTGGGATGGCTGAGTAGGGATAAAAAGTATCTTAGAAGGTGGAATTGATATGGATAGTTGATATTGAAGTAATTGGAAAATGAAGACTAATGAATTTTTGGTAATCTGGCATGTTTCAAAATGAAATCCACAGAAATCTTTTCAATAAGTCATTGTTTGTTGGTATAGTTATTCTTCGTTTCTTATTCCTCCATGTTCTTTATTTTTAACTCCTTCTAGGGAGAACGTGGATTTCCAGGCAGTCCCGGCTTTCCTGGTTTACAGGGTCCTCCAGTAAGTCATAAAATTTGGGATTATAATGAACGTAGGAATTAACAGAAGAAGCAGAAATGCAGAGAGTGAGCTCAATACATTCATGTGGAACAATGTAGCAAATTTTAAAGTAGTAAAGTAGAGCAAAAATTTTTTCAAAAAGAAGTTGGTAATATAGCTCTCTGTTGGGCAAAAAGAAAGATTCTTTGATATTTAATGTAAATGTCATCTCTAAGTATCCTAAGATATATTGTTCTCAGAAATGACCCTAGAGCAGTCTATTCGCTTTATACTCTATTTAGAAAGTATTGTGTTCTTTGCTTGTTTTCCCCTCATATGTATAAAATAATTCCTTTTCTTGTTAATAATAGGGACCTCCTGGGATCCCAGGTATGAAGGTAAGCATCTCATGCTGGAAAAATAAACATTTTGAAAAAAATATTTGGAAAGCCTGCAAGTTCAAAAGGATAATGACTTGGACTTTTGTCTTAAAATGGATGCTTCTAGAAGTTGTGCAGGTGTACGCTTTCAAGCTCTCCTTAAGTAGCCTCCTCTGTTCCCATGGCTTTAAGTGCCTTCTCTGTGTTGACACACTTGAAAATGTGTATATCAGAGCTTCTTTTCTGACACCTTCAGTCTATATCTTATTATACTTTGATACAGTTGACCACCTGCTCTCTCTAGTAGTAGTGTCACCCCTGGCTTCTGTGACACTACCTTTTCCTAATTTTTCTTCTGCATCTCTGGTTATTCTGCGGTCTTCTATGCAAGCTCATTCTACTCTGTCTAGCAAGCAGCAGGACCCCTTCTTTTCTTCTATGCCCAGCAATATACTAATGCCTATAGTATTGATTACTATCTAGTTACTGAATACCAAGTCCCACTTTTCTTCTGAGTTAGAGGCATGTATTCAACAGCCTACCTGACATCGCCACTCAAATATCTCCTAGACGTTCAAAGTAACATGTTCCAATTTAACCTGCCCCCTCCAAAGTAAACCTACTCCTTACTTTGGCTCCCCATATCTAAAATTTGCATCACTATGGATTATGTACACTTTTACATGAACTCAAAACCTGAGAGTTAGTATTTACATCTTCCACTCTTTCACACACCTCCTCATTCCATTCTATCACTAAGTACTATTAAATTTACCTGTAAAATGTATCTTAAATTCGTCCACTTTTTTACATCTCCACTGTCACTACACTAACCATAATGTCTCATCTGGATTACTGCAATAGACTGTTAACTAGTCTCTTTTTTCACTACTGTCCCACTGCTATCTTCCAGCCTTATTCTCGACAAAGCAATCAAAAATTATTTTTTTAAAATGTTAATCAATAATTTAATCTCCCTGCTTGTAAACCTTCAAAAGATTTCCACTGTGTATCTAAGGTAAAGTCCATGGCTTTAATACCTGCATGTTTTGGTCCCTGCATTTAGTTATTTGAATGTGCTAAACTCATTGCTTTTGTTTTCCTTCGTACATACTATTTACACTGCCTAATATTTTTTACCCTGTCTTCACCCAGATGACACCTTATTACTCTTTAGGTCTCAACCTAAATGTTACCTTCACAGATTGTCTTTCTTTGACTACAGAAACTAATTTTCTGCACTATTTTTTTAAGAGACGGGATATATGCTATGTTTAATTTTCTCCACTATTTCTTTATCAGTTATGGTATCATGCTGTTTTTCTTCATAGCCCGTGACAGAACATATTGTCATATTATTGTTTTTACATGTTATGGTCTGTATTTTCGCATTTTATTGTTAGCTCCATGAGAACAGAGGCCTTGTTTATCTTCTTCATTTCTGAGTATCCAAACCTAACATAATTCTTGGCAAATACTTAATATTTAATAAATATTTTTAAATGAGTAACTAACTGAAGGTACCATAGTCTTTTAATAAATCTACCATACTTTAGTATACTCTGGCCACTGCCTCATTTTCCTTTAAAAGGTAAGTTTATTCATTTTAATTACTGGGATGGCCTAATCTTTCAGTATATTTATGTGACAAAATTGAATCCTCAGATCTTTTTTTTGTGCTCTTGCTGGTTTTCATGTATAATAACTGTGAATTACAACTTCCACTGATGATTTCTTTTAGGGGGAACCAGGTAGTATAATTATGTCACCACTGCCAGGACCAAAGGGTAATCCGGGATATCCAGGTCCTCCTGGAATACAAGTAGGTATCCAGTGATTTTCTTCTTTACTATATTGATTAAATCAGAAGATCACATCAACTCAACCTTTAGTACCCTCTGTTTTAGTCACAGAAATTATCATCTGAAGTTTGCTAGACAGTGCATATACCTTATACCTGAAAATAAAAGCAATCTGGACTAGGGAGAATTTTAATAAGCTCTGCTTTATTCTTTTACTTTTCTTTCCACTTTCCCTGGAACTTTTTGTTTGGGGGATTGGTGGCAGAAATAGGCTACTATATTCTTATTCTTGTACTATGGGGAGCAGTGGGTTCCTCTGTAAATGATCTGATTGAAAATAAAAATTATTAGTGTCCCATTTAAGATTATAATTTAAGTTACATTATAATTATATTTAAGTTATAACACTATATCATAATTATATTTAAGTTATAACACTATCAATTATGCATAACATATGAACACATTTTGAGGGCTGAAAGAATACAATTTATGCATGGGGAATATCAAATGTAATCTTAAGAAAAAAATTATATTAGCCTACAGATAACATGCATAGAGACAGCAGTGACTTTTGTGTATTCATAGAGCAGGAGGTCAATTTCTTGGGGCTTATATTTCACAAGAATTGATTCCTTTTCCAAAAATAAAAATCAGTACTTTCTGGTATCTGATCACTAAGATACAGCGTTTGGGACTTTTCATTATTTCATTGGCTACCTTCTCATTCTTTATTCAACATCATCTATCCATATTCTCTCTTAAATTCACTCAATCTTGCCCTTTATATTTTACAAATTGTTATGATGTAATATTTGAAAATACAACAGGATACCTGCAAAATATATGTACATTATGAAGCATAACTATAAAATGAACAACTGTGACCCAAACACAGCATTTAAGAACTAGAATATTAAGGTTGGATATGGTGGCTCATGCCTGTAATCTTAGCACTTTGGGAGGCCAAGGCAGGAGGATCACTTGAGTCCAGGAACTGGAGGTTGCAGCGAGCTATTATTGGGCCACTCCAGCCTGGGTAACGTAGCAAGACCCTGTCTCTAGGGGAAAAAAAAAAAAAGAACTCTAGAACATTATAAATAACTTTAAATCAACCTGTGTGTTCTTCGTCAGTCACATCCTTCTGCATTCCCTCCATATAACTACCATCCTGAGTTTTCCACTGTTTCTTAAAAATAGCTTTTTTACATATGCATGTATTTCTAAAAAATAGAATATTTGGTTTTGCTTTATAAAAATTAATGAAATATTTGTGTTGTTTTCTGCAACTTACTTTTTCTACTTGATATGCTAAGATTCATCCAAATTCTTGTATGCAGCTATAGTTCACTGTTCCACTCCCATATAACTTTCCATTTGTGCATATACTACAATTTTGTGATTTTTTATGTTTAAAATAAAAACTATACTGTTTATTTAGTTCATTGCGATTTTGATGTATACAAAGCCTTTTTAACGTTAGCCCAGCTAAAAATATGATTAATAATGACAATCTAAACAGTTTTATCATGGGAAAGTCAATCTGATGCAAAGGTAATCTATTCAGTGCCAATACCCAGTAGATAAAAGCACTTGCCCTTTATGGCTAATTTACACTTATTGCTTGAAATAGATATTGTACACTGGTATTTTATTATTCATTTTCTTGACCTTCCAGCAGTGTCTTGGATGACTGCCACATTATTATTCATTTTTCCTCTTATCCTGCTTGTTTGTATTTTCCTCTAATTTATTTATTTTTTAAATTTTTTTTTAATTTCAGAATATTATGGGGGTACAAACATTTTGGTTACATACGATGCCTTTGCCTCGCCCAAGCCAGAGCTACAAGTGTGCCCATCCCCCACACAGTGCACTCCACATCCATTAGTTGTGAGTTTACCCACCCCCACCAACCCCCTCCCACATTATGGGCGCCTGATGAATATTACTTTCATGTGAACACCTTAGTGTTGATCAGTTAGTACCAATTTGATGGCGAGTACATGTGGTACTTGTTTTTCCATTCTTGTGATACTTCATTTCGAAGGATGGACTCCAGCTCTATCCAGGATAATATAAGAGGTGCTAGTTCACCATTGTTTTTTGTAGTTGAGTAGTATTCCATGGTATACATATACCACATTTTATTAATCCACTCATGGACCGATGAGCACTTGGGTTGTTTCCACATCTTTGCAATTGTGAATTGTGCTGCCATAAACATTTGAGTGCAGATGTCTTTATTATAGAATATATTTTTTTCCTTTGGCTAAATGTGGCAGAATCAATATTGTGAAAATGTCCATACTACCTAAAGTGATCTATAGAATTAATGCAATCCCTATCAAAATACCATCATCATTCTTTAGAAAAAATAATTCTACACTTCATATGAAACCAGAGAAGACCTCGTATAGCCAAAGCAATCTTAAGCAAAATGAACAAATTGGGAGGCATCGGTCTGCCAGACTTCAAGCTTGACTAGAAGGCTATAGTAACCAAAACAGCATGGTACTGGCACAAGAACAGAGATATAGACCTTTGGAACAGGACTGAGAACCCAGATATAAAACCATCCTCATGTAGCCATCTAATCTTTGACAAAGCAGACAGAAATATATATTGGGGAAAAGAATCTCTATTCAATAAATGGTGCGGGGAAAACTGGATAAGCACATGCAGAAGACTGAAACTGGATCCCCACCTCTCACCTCTCACAAAAATCAACTCAAGATGGATAGCAGACTTAAACCTAAGGCATGAAACCATAAGAGTTCTAGAAGAAAATGTTGGGAAAACTCCTACAGACATTGGCCTAGACAAAGAATTTAGGAAGAAGACCCCAAAGGCAATCACAGCAACAGCAAAAATGAATAAATGGGACCTGATCAAATTAAAAAGCTTCTGCACAGCCAAGGAAACTATCATGAGAGCAAATAGACAATATACAGAATGAGGGAAAATAATCACATGCTATGCATCCAATAAAGGGCTGATAACTAGAATCTATTTAGAACTTAGGAAAATTAACAAGAAAAAAATCAAGCACCCCATCAAAAAGTGGGCAAAGGACATGACCGAAACTTTTCAAAAGAAGACAGAATAATGGCCAGAAAACATATAAAAAAGTGCTCAACATTTCTAATCATCAGGGAAATGCAAATCAAAACCGCAATGAGATATCATCTAACTCCAGTGAGAATAACCTTTATCAAAAAGTCCCAAAACAACAAATGCTGGTGAGGATGTGGAGAGATAGGAACAGTCTTACACTGTTGGTGGGACTGCAAATTAGTACAAGCCCTGTGGAAAGTAATTTGGAGATACCTCAAAGAACTAAAAATAGAAATACCATTTGATCCAGCAATCCCACTACTAAGCATCTACCCAAAGGAAAAAAAGACAGTCTATAATTTTGTTTCATTACAAACAATTCAGCATTTATATCTAGGTACAAACTTTCTAGATTGTAGGCCATAGAAATTTTCAATTTTTAAGATGACAAATTATATTCCATAACCCTTGTATCATTCCCTTATCATTTATCCCAGTTATTCTCATTTCCCTCTGTCTGTAATCTTATCTATTTTAAAATTAGAAAAGCTACTTTGAAAGTAGTAGCCTTTCCCTTCCCTTTTCTAGTGTAAAAGCCACACTAAATGCCCAACTTTATCACTTTATTTTGTAAATTTTTCTAATTATGTGTTTATCCTACATTTGTTATCTACCACTGTGAAACATAAGCTTTCTGAAAGCTGCCTTTTGACTTTGTTTATAGCTACTTAATCCTTTTAGCCTTATACAATTTTAAATTTCACTCATTGCAGAATTATAGAATTGTAGAACAGAATTCCAGCAACAATTTAAGTGTAAATTTTATCCATTTAGTTCTTTGTAAGCTACAGTGAGGGGTTATTTTTTTTCATCTTTTTCTTTATTGCCTTTATAACAGGGCCCACCTGGTCCCGCTGGTATACCAGGGCCAATTGGTCCCCCAGGACCACCAGGTTTGATGGTAAGCTCCCTTCTGTAATTTTGTTTCTTCTCCTTTTCTTTCTGACTTATTTCACAAGTATTAATATTATTTATAATGCTTGAAAGTATAATGCATTTTCAATATTCATAGTCTATAATTTTCATATTTAAGGGTGATTTTACAATGATATGGTGAACAATATGCATTCTAAGTAATAGGTCCATTTTATAGATGGAAAAAATGAGATACATAAAAAGAAAGATTTAAAATAAAGTATTTTGTTTGTTATCTCTTGATGGTTTTGGTGTTGAAGTCAATTCTAGCCGTCTCGGGAAATCTTCTAAGGCAGTTTTCTAGTCACTTGATTAAACATGTTTCTTTAAACTGCATTTTTTTTTTGTTTAAGAACAACAAAAACAGGGCTTCACACAAAAAATGGCTCTCATTTCTTAGGGGCCTAGGGAAAAATGGTAGGATTGGTGAGGGGAGCAATCACTCTGCAATGAGTGATAGGTTTGTATACCTCAAGAGAGAAGCAAAAACTTGTAAATATCCTGAATGTGCAGCCATTTCTCTTACTTTACTACCTCTATGGTCATTCTTAATTTCTACTCTAATAAATTCTAAGTATTTTTATCTCTGACATACTTAGATTTCATTCAAGTCATGTTTTGGACTTGGAACTTTGCTGTTTCCTTCTTAAAAGGGCAAGAAAATTGTATTTCAGTCAAAGTAATTTCTCATGTGCCACTCTATCTCTCATCTACCATATATTTAAGTGACAGTTTTCATTATACCTCTACAGATTGTACATTTTTGTTTGTGACAATTGGTCCTCTACTCTTGAATGAAGGAAATAAAGTTTGGTAAATACTAGAAGAATCTACCAAAAAAGATTGTGATTTCTGCTTTCCTGTCACTCTATGGGCGAGGTTTAGAAAACTCTTTCATTTAGTTTGTTTTAGTTCTAGACCTGCAAAGCATGAGACTCTGGACTATGACACTTTTTCTTAAGTGTATTGTTACAACATTGATGTACCTTGGGTATGTTGTTACACCTTGAATTTCTTTAACTCTTGTGGCCACTTAACTGATTCACTCTATACTTTTAAATGTTCTTTCAATTAACCCTAATTCAATAAATGAAGCAAAATCTCAGAAATGCCACCAAAGTACAGTATGTAAATAAATAGGTCCATTGAGATTAGGAGGCAATATATTTGGGCAGACAAATGCCTATTTAATTTTTCAAACCTCGAAACATTCTCAAATCCACAAAGTCAGATTGCATAAAAATAAAATTGGATTTAAAAAATAAACACATGCTTCTTAGAGGAGAGTTAATTGTTTTATGGTACCTAAATTTACCCATAATTCTGATTTGAAAAATTTGATACTTTTTATGAGGTTAACTTTTTAATTGATTTTTTGGCACTGGTGCTACCCCTCTACCTCTACCCATCCTAAGTTCTTCTACCCATTCCCACCCTGTCACCAGAAGTCTCCACATTCAACTTCTTTGTTTTAATCAATTTAAATGTGTGTCTCTGACTAAAAAAAATGAGGAAAAGAAAGAGAAAAATATTATTTTGAAGAACTTTTTCATTCCTCGCTTTATATGAAACCAAATAATTTTTAAAATAAACTTATTAATATAACATTTGTTTCCTTTTGTATGTCTTCTATTCCTAGGGCCCTCCTGGTCCACCAGGACGTCCAGGACCAAAGGTAATTTCCTTTTTCTTTACATATTTTATTTGGAGTGGATTATTTTTTTTTATTGTCAATAAGATTTTAAATTGAAACTTCTCTTTTCAGGGGAATATGGGCTTAAATTTCCAGGGACCCAAGGGTGAGAAGGTGAGTAAAGAGAGTTGGTTATTCAACTTTCAGATTTCTCCTTTTATACTCATTTGAACTATTTCCTTCTCTTGCTTCTTGCTGTTGACTTAGCTTACATTTTATATTATTGTCTGTGGTAGATTATGAAATATCACTGTCTTATTTTATTTTGGAAACAGGGTGAGCAAGGTCTTCAGGGTCCACCTGGGCCACCTGGGCAGATCAGTGAACAGAAAAGACCAATTGATGTAGAGTTTCAGAAAGGAGATCAGGTGAGTAAGTAGGAAGGAAATCAATGAAAATCTTTCTATGGATATGTTAATTAGCTTGATTGTGGTAGCCACTTCACAATGTATATGTATATCAAAACATCATGTTGTATACCTTAAATATGTACAATTTTTATTTGACAATTATACCTCAATAAAGCTGGAAAAAAGTAAAACAATAAGCTAAAAATAATCTTGCTATGGAAATAACATTCCATTGAAATGCATTATAAGCTGGATTATCGTTATATATGAAGATATTTTAAAAATAACAAGGTTTTGAGATAATTAAATTTTTAGAAAGAATTTTATTGAGATATAATTTACATACCATGCAATTCACCCATTTAAAGTATACAATTCAATTTTTTTAGTATATTCACAGGGTAGTGAAACCATCAGCACAATCTAATTTTAGAAAATTCTTATTAGGTTCCCCCTAGAACTCCATATCTATTAGTGTCACTCCCTATTTCTCCACAAATTCTCCAGCCTGAGACAACCACTAATCTACTCATTGGCTCTGTAGATTTGTCTATTCTGGATATTTCATATAAATGGAATCATGCAATATGTGGTCTTCTGTGTCTGGCTTCTTTTACTTATCATAATGTTTTGAAGTGCAACCATTTTGTAGGATGTATCAGTACATGATTCCTTTTTATGACTGAATAATATTCCATTCTGTGGATAGTCCATATTTTGTTTGCCCATTTATCCATCAGTTGATGGACATTTGTGTTGTTTCCATTTTTGGCTATTTGAATAATACATTCATGTATAAAGTTAGGTCATGGTAAGATAAGTTGTCATTGTCTTAGATGACTGTGTTATCTACATTTCACTGATATAAAAAGAGAAATATGATGTTACTCTAAAACCTTTGTTGTGTTTAGAAATAGTTATGTGATACCTTGCTTTTATAAGAGTGGATGAAAGGATCAAATATGTTTTTATAGCATACTGGCCCACCCTTAAACAAACAGGCGATATGCATTTTTGCTTTCCTTAAATGCTATAATAATAAGAAAGTTTAGAATAAACAGTTGTATTGAAATTCTATTGTCAATGTGGATTGGGCCATTTAATTCTCTGCCAAAATATGTGTGCTCTGTGGCCCCCAGATCACCTAGTTTTAGGAACTGTTGCTTTCTATAAAATATTTTATAACAATAAAAATCATCAACATTTTTAAGTATTATTATTTACCTCAAAGTTTGGCTTGTATATACACTAGAAATTAACTGAAGTGAGCAAAGATGGCTCTAGGTTCTTTTGCCTAACGATTTCAACTTTGAATTAGAAATATTCTATTATCTTTGGTTATACTACATGAGTCTCCAGTTCAGTTTGTTGAAAGTGCTCCTAGCTAGCTCTAGTAGTTAGAATGAGATTGCATACTCCAGTATTAACATTGTTTTCCTTTCCTCTACTACCATATAGGGACTTCCTGGTGACCGAGGACCTCCTGGACCTCCAGGAATACGTGGTCCTCCAGTAAGTAACCTAAAAGGCTTTAGCATCATTTAGTGCAAATTGGTGATACACAGTATCCCATGAACCAATGTGAAACTATTTTTGTGTGTACAGGGTCCTCCAGGTGGTGTGAAAGGTGAGAAGGGTGAGCAAGGAGAGCCAGGCAAGAGAGTAAGTGTTATGACTAATAATACTTTTTTTTTTTTTTTTTGAGACAGAGTCTCACTGTGTTGCCTGGGCTAGAGCGTCATCCTAGTTCACAGCAACCTCAAACTCCTGGGCTCAAGTGATCCTCCTGCCTCAGCCTCCCGAGTAGCTGGGACTACAGGCATGTGCCACCATGCCCGGCTAATTTTTTCTATATATTTTTAGTTGTCCAATTAATTTCTTTCTAATTTTAGTAGAGACGGGGTCTCACTCTTGCTCAGGCTGGTTTCGAACTCCTGAGCTCAAACAATCCGCCCGCCTCGGCCTCCCAGAGAGCTAGGATTACAGGCGTGACCCACCGCGCCCGGCCCTAATAATACTTTTTGCAAAAAAATCCTAAATTATGTGTGTGTGATTTTATTCTTTCTTCCTAAGTCTTACTTTCATTGCCTCAAAATGTCACTACTGACATACTTATTATTTATTATGATATTGAAGTCTAAAAAGTCTACTTAATATAGTCCAAGGCAGGAATAAAGCTTGTATACTTTGACCTCATACTTCCTAACTAACAATTTTATGTTGTTACCCCATCATTTATTTGTATCCTATAGGGTAAACCAGGAAAAGATGGAGAGAATGGCCAACCAGGAATTCCAGTAAGTAGCTAAGGTTCTTCCACCTCACCCCGCCCCCCAAAGCTGACAACATTTGTAAGTGGTGGTAGAGAAGCAGGATGGCAAGGAGTCTGGTTTGGAAATCGTTTAAATGAATGGAAATTATATTTTTTTCTCTTTTGAATATGAATTTGAAATTCCTCTATTTTTAAGTCAGATCTATTGAGATATAATTTATACACAGTAAAATGAACGATTTTTATTGTATAGTTCTGTGTTTTGACAAACACATACAGTTGTGTCACCACCACCATAATCCAGAACAGTTTCATCACACTCAAAAGTTCCCTTATGCTCTTTTGTACTTATTTACTCCCCTACCCCAATTTCCTCATAACAACTGATCTGTTCTGAATCCCTATAATTTTGCCTATTCTAATATGTCACATAAATGGACTCATATCGTATTAATATATATAGCCTTTTGAATGAGGATTCTTTCACATAGCGTAATGCATTATACTGTGTATCAGTATTCATTGCTTTTTATTGTTGAGTAGTATTTGTGTGGCTCTACCTTGGTTTGTTTATCTATTTAGCCATTGAAAGATATTTTGGTTGCTTCTGGGTTTTGGCCATTATGAAAAAAATGGTTATAAACATTCAAATACAGTTTTTTTGTGTGAACGTAAGTTTTTTTCAGTAAAAGTTTTGACAGGTAATTATTCTAATTCCTACTAAAAAAGGGAGAAATAAAAATATGCAAGTCCAAGAACATTATTTTGAGAAGCTTCAGTATCAAGAGTATCCACAGTAGGCATTAAAAGAGATTTAATGACAGAAAATTTGATGAAATTTGTAGGCCATTCCAAAGGAAAGGGATAATTCTTAACAAGACAGGAATTTGGAATTACTAAAATCAGATTAATTGGTTTCAACATGATTTTACTAAACAGACAATCCTCAACCTATAACTCTACTTCAAAAAAAGCTTAAACAAATAAAATAATACGAAGTTCAGGGCCTCAGTTCCTGGCTTCTTTGAGAACAATTGGTCTTTGTCTCAATTTAGACAGTGGTGATATTCAACAATTGCCTCTGATTGTTTTTAGCAAATGAGGGGTGTTGGGCAGGGAGACTCTTCTCTTGTTCTCTGTTTGCACTGGGAAAGTCCAAGTCAGGTCAAACCACCAGACAGCCTTACAAGTGGGGTCTTCTTGGAAACCACCAGGCAGATCAAATAATGACAGTTCTCTGGCAGTGGGATTTCAAAGGAACTCCAATCCTGTTCTTTCCCCTCCAGTTGCTGCTAGGCTGCTGGTTTTCACCTTGATTGTGAGGTTGGGTTAATGGGAATAGAGCGAGTTAAAATGCCGCAAAGCTCTGTGTTGTTACCAAGATTCAGCTTTTTTTTTTTTTTTTTTTGAGAAAATATTCCTTGGATTGCTGCAGGCTTTGGTTAATTTCCACAGTTCTGAAAAAGTTGATTCTAACTAACCATTTTTGCCAATATTCTCATTACTTCAATGGAGCAGAGAATTTTTGAAGGTCTCTCTACTCTACCATTTTTGCTGATGTCGCCCTATCCCATATGTTTTAAAGGGTTTGCCTGGTGATCCTGGTTACCCTGGTGAACCTGGAAGGGATGGTGAAAAGGTAAGAATTTTAATACCTTGAAGTGACTGTTTTTATTCTTGTTAACATAATCCTTTTCTCTCCCAAGACTGTTATAAATGAAAAAGTTCTATTAATATATAACTAACTTCTGCATTCAAAACATACCTTCTTTATCCATCTTTTGCTCCTTTTTCTTTTGTACCACACTCTCTAAATGTTCTTTCATTGCCCTAAAGCACAGTCCATGTGGTAGAAATACATGAAGGATTGTTTAACTTTAGCATTTCCATTGTGAAAAGTCATTGCCTTTACTTTGAGCATGTATCGGCAAAACTTTTGTTTTCTAGAAAGAGGATTCAGCACTATTTTAGTGAGGTCCTCGTATTAAAAGGCTCATAGCTGTGAATTTAGAACATTTCAACTAAACATTTCCATTCTTTATGCAATTGTTGTCTGTAAATCTATGGCTAATTCTTTGTCTTTTTTTTTTCACTAAGCCAATGCAGCCTGACTGAGGTTATTTATTTAGTTACCTATTTTAAAAAAGTGACTTCCAAAAGAATGTATGAAGCACACAATTACTCTATTTTTTAGCAGGTCACAAAATATCTAATCCCTCTTTTCTCTAATTGCTTTGTATCAAAACCAAATTGAAAGGCTTTATTTTCCAGGCAAGGAGGGAAAGGTGTTAAAAACTTGAATGTACCCAGAGGGCACATAATTTAATGGTGGTTTATCTCTAAAGATAGGTCCAAGTTCTAGCTTGACCTAAAAGGCACAGTTAGAATTATGGAGGTAGCAAATACTCAGAACCTTTTTTTTTTTTTTCAATTAGTAAGTAGAGTTATAGGACAGATTAACTCCTTAGACTAAAAGGAGTTTGTGTATAGATGAAAGGTTTCTATGAACAAGTCTAGAAGCAGAATAGAGGTGTGAGAGAAACTATCATTGAATCTTGGCCAGCAAAGTAACAGTTAAATATTGTGTTCTTCATGCTGTTGTAGCTACTGATCAAAAATGAAAGTTTTGTCCGGAAATTGTCTTTCATTAGCTGCTAAGAACAAACTTACAAAAGTAATTAGGATTTATTAGCTATTCCTGATTATAGTTAAGTCCGTGACCTCTAAAATATCTGTCACTAATAGAAATGACACTACATTTATGCCCTTGACAGTTTTATAAGAAGGAACGTGGCTAAATGTAAAAAAAAAATCAATGGTTTTAGCTTATTCTAGTGGTACCACTTTTTTACATTATCTTCTTTATAGAGTATTTATAGTTTGCTAGAAAACAGAAATCTTAAAATCAAAAAATATTACAGCTAGAAATACCTTAGAAGTTTGGTCTAAAATCTTTCTTTTTTGTATATAAGCCACAGAGGTTAATTGATTTGGTCAAGATTATGTATCTAGTAAATTTGAGACAACACCACAGGTCTTTCTAGGCTTAGTCCTGTATTATTTCATTGCCTCATATTGTATTTCTCATTTGAAGTATTCTATTATTGATTTCTGGGATTAATGAAAATATCTCTTATGTTCTTGAGGAAATTGATGTTTTCATGTGATTTTTTTTTTACTAACCTATTCTATAATTGCATTGAACAGGGCCAAAAAGGTGACATTGGCCCACCGGGGCCTCCTGGACTTGTGAGTTTTTTTTTTTAGTCTTCATTTATCAAATTTATTAATGTATTATCATTTTGGGGCCTTAATTATATACTCCCTACTTTTTCCTCATACAATACAAAATTCTAATTCATTATCAAGTTCTAGTGCCTTAAAAGTCTTTACATCTAAAAACTTCAGTAGTCTTGACCTCAAGGTCTTTGTATTGTTCTACCTGTGTATTAATTCTCCATATTAAAAGTCCAAATTGATGGCATTGTGTTGTTTTGCATCATGAGTGCCAGATCATTTCTCAAGCAGCCAGCAGGTGGTGCAAGTGTTGCTTAAAGGTTCAATAAAAGAAACTTGGGGAGGTGGGGGTTGGTCCTTTCCCCTGCAGAGTTCAGGGTAAAGATGGATTTGGTCTTAATAGGTTTTCTCAATTTGTAATTGTCTGATTCACACCTCTTTCTTTCCTGAGTGTGTGCTTTCTAGGGGTTCTTAATAACAAATGTAGGAAACTGCTCTATGAAAGAATAATTGGGGGGTTTACAGATTTTCTGTCGTGTGTTTTCACTATGAAACTTAAGTCAAATATATTTCTAGTCTTATTAAGAATAAAATCTCATTACTGAGGTTTGACATACCGGTTTTTCTTTGGTAAAAATTTGGTGAGACTCTTGATTTTAAGACTACATTGAAGCCATGACAGTGTGAGTACCGTAAAGCCTATTCTATATGTCCAGACGTTTTAGTAACATTAATTTTTTTTGTCCATAGTGAGTCTCGGTTATTAATACTTAGGACTGTACTAAATCTAATGAGGATATAATTAAAGAAGATCTTAGATAGTTTTTATTCACTTTCAGTATAAAATGAGAGTTTCAGTTCTCTAGGGAATAATCTCTTTATAAAATGATATGATAAGATTTTGATAAGTATCAGAAGAAATGGAAATTTTGAGAGTGCAGTCCTATGCAGCAGGTCACGTTCCCTTTTGAACTACCATTCCAATTCTAGATCCCACAACTTTTCATCTCCTTTCGTGTCAGTATTTCTTATATCCAATAGAGACAGGATGAAATATCATACTTTGCCAGTAGGTGTTGGTTTGTACATCAGACTGACAGTTTCTTAAATATGAAGCTTATTTACTTTTATTGTTATATGAGGTGAAATTTTAAATATTAAGTTTATTTGGTATGAATTTTTTTTAGAACAGACTTAAGTACTGAGTTCTAAGAAGACAGCGAAAAAGGGAATGATTGGTTGGTTGGGTTTAATCAATAAAGGCTTCCTTGAAGAGATGAGTTTTCTTTTTTAAAGGAAGAAAAAAATGTAGGTTCATAAAGGGAAAGATTGGGAAAGGCATTATAGATGTTTGCAATGACATCAATGGCATATACAAAGGCACAGACAGGAGTGTGCAAGTTGAAGGAAGTGGTAAAAATCAGACAGACTTCACTCTAATAAAAATTTACTGCTAGAAATAATAGGAGATGAAATGAGTGAGAGAAGTATTAGAAATAAGAAATGACTTGACATACTTCCGGGCAGTAGCATCAGATACAGTAAGGAGTAGTGAGCAATTTTGAGTCTTTAAGCAGAGTAGTTAACACAGAAAAATTGGTTTTTGAGAAAGCACAACCTAGCAATAGATTTGAATTCAAAGGGACAAGTTCAGAGGTGCTTCTGTTAGTCCAAGTGTGAGTTGAAGATAGTAGCTGTGGCAACAGGAGTGAAGGGGGCAAATTGGAGAGACGTTTCAGTACAGAATTGTCAGGCTTAGATTATTGGAATGAATTGAATGTGAATTATAAGAGAAGAGACAAGAAAAATACTTTTAGCTTTGTAAGTCTGGGGCACAAGAGGGTGGTAATATTGTTACTAGAATTGAATAATTTCTAATCAGTTGGAGGATGGGAGTGATATAGAATGTGACTCATAATCTATGTAGTAGTCAATGGTTTTACATCTGAGCACTTTTATGAAAATGATGGCATTATAATCTTATGTAGCCACCAGATTATTTTCTGGAGAACAGGCCTCTACCTCTTTGAGTTCCTTTATTTTTTTTTTCTTTTATAATAAAGGTAATTCCTAGACCTGGGACTGGTGTAACTGTAGGAGAAAAAGGAAACATGGGGTTACCTGGCTTGCCTGGAGAAAAAGGAGAGCGAGGATTTCCTGGAATACAGGGTCCACCTGGCCTTCCTGGACCTCCAGGTAAAAGAGACTGCACTTATGTTCAGGTGCTTATAGCATCCTTACTAGTCCATGTGTACACTTTATCATGCTGGTTCCAAGGTGAGCGTGGCAGTAGAAGACACAAGTCCTTTTTAATTGACAGATACTTCCCAGCTCTTACTATACCCTTTCTCACCAAATTCCTTACTTAAAAATAAGCCCATCTAAATAGTGCCCTTTTATATTAAGATTCCCATTTCTACCTTTTCTTATTTTTATTGATATATAATAACTGTACATATTTACCGGGATACATGTGATATTTTTATACATGCACATAATGTGTAGTGATCAAATCAAGGTAATTGAGGGATATCCATCACCTCAAACATTTATCATTTCTTTATATTGGGAAGATTCAAAATCTTCCCTTTTTTCTATTTTGAAATGTATAATAAATTATTGTTAGCTATAGTCACTCTATTGTGCTATCAAACACTAGAATTTATTCCTTCTGCCCAACTGTATGTTTATACCTATTAACCAAACCAACCTCTCTTAATTCCCCCTTCCCTGCCACAAACCCTCCCTAGCTTCTGGTAACTACTATTCTACTCTCCACCTCCATTGGATCCACTTTTTTAGCTCCCACATATGAGTGAGAACATGTGATATTTGTCTTTCTGTGCCTCACTTATTTCACTTAACGTGATGTACCCCAGGCTTATCCATGTTGCTGCAAATGACAGGATTTCATTATTTTTATGCCTGAATAATATGCCATGTGTATATGTACCACATCTTCTTTATCCAGTCATCCATTGATGGACACTTAGGTTGATTCCATATCTTAGCTATGGTGAATAGTGCTGCAATAAACATGGGAGTACAGATATCTTTTTGATGTAGTGATTCCCTTTCTTTTGGATATATACCCAGCAGTGGGATTGCTGATCATATGGTATTTCTATTTTTAGTTTTTTTAATGAAATTCCATACTGTTTTCCATAATGGCTGTACTAATTTACATTCCCACCAACAGTATATGTTTCTCCACATTCTTGCCAGCATCTATTGTTTTTTGGGGTTTGATCATAGCCATTTTAACTGAGGTACCTTTTATTATTAATAAATTACACCAAACAATTCTGTGATTCATTTGATGAATCCTCACACTGTTGTTGCTGCTATTAGGGAAGAGGATGCTGCCTTACAGTGCCTAGCTTTGCAAGATTTCCTATATAAAAATGGTAAGCAGCACTATTCACATAGAATTTGAAAATCATCTAAGTAGAAATCTCTATGGTGATTTTGCTGTACAATAAAATCTTAGTGTTCAATACTATGTTTTGTATTATTCCCTTTGAAGACACACAATATAGTGGAACATTTCTAATTGGCCATAAATTGAGTACTGCCCTTGTCTAGCATGTGTATTTGGATATTCTCTGAAATTAGGTGATAGGAGGGATTTATGTAAAATTTGCAAAAGTATCTGGTATAGTACCTGGAACACATAAATAGTCAATAAATTATGGCTCCTTTCTCTTCAAAAATATGTGGCTAATGAAATATTAACATGACGAGATGAGTGACACTCAGTGATCTTTCCAAAGAGAAAGAGAATAAATGTGGGTTCCATTATGCTCTAACTAAGTACGCACTTTGGATTTCTAATCTCAAGATAGTGGACTAAATACATGCTATGTCTGGAAAACTGAAATAAGGAATCTTCCCAAGATGCAGTAAAAGAGTTAAGGAGTTGGGAAGTATGAAAGAAAAGGTAAGAGGTATAAAGGGTAAACCTAGAAGTTCCAAAATCCATCATGAGGGCATTCAAGGAGGAGAGAATGGGGCAAGAGGAAGTATTTGAAAAAAATAATGGCTGAGAACTTCCATCTATTAAGAAACACACAAATCCCTGTGAAAAAGCTCAAGAAGCACTAAGGAAGAGTAAAATAAAAATAATATAAAGGCCTATGAGTAGACACACTGTAGGGACATTCTAGAATTCAGGGATAAAAAGAAACCCTTAAAACTATCTGAGAATAAAAGGCAGATCACCTACAAAATAGTAAGAGTCAGAGGAAGATAATGGAGCACATTTTTAAAGTGATAAGGACAAATTACTATGAATTTGTGATTCTGTATTACACCAAACTATCATCTTAGTGTGAAGATGACGTAGCTAGAAAGTTTATCACTTTCAGACTTTCTCTGAAATAGTTACTTGAGGTTTTACTCCAAGAAGGAAATGAATTTAGGGTAAAGTGAGGGTAGGGGTAAGGGTAGAATGTAAGAACCATTGTTTAGGAAAGATATTAGTAAAGCATATTAACTCTAAATAGGTATTGATCATTAAAAAAATAACAAGTGTTTTAAGTAACAACCTGGAAATATAATTGTAAACATTATTAACATGGGATATTTAGGTGCAGAGAGAATAAGGGGAAGTCAAAGATGGCTTGTTAGAGAGAGAAAATATTAACATTATTAACTCTTTAAGTTTTTAGAAAAAATATAGGTTTAAGTACATAGGTTAAAATTTTGATAGTAACTACTAGAGGAGAATAGAAATAAAATGTATGACCTACACACCGGTTGAGTAAAGAAAATGACTAAAAGTCTCCCATACAATTAAAGTTAGGGTTAGGGCAAGACAGATAAACCAAGGTAAATAGAAAATGAAATATAAGATGACAAGAAGTTGAAAATAAATCAGTAACTCCAACAAATGTGAAAGAACTAAACACTGTTTGAAAGACACTGACTGAAAATTAGAATAAAAAAATATATATACAGTGCACAGTAGACATATCTGAAGCAAAAAGACAGAGAAAATTTGAAAATAAAGCAATGGAAAGATATATTAGGCACATGCTATTTAACAAAAGCTGGTTTAACAATTCTAATATAGTATGAGATAGAATTAAATGCAAAAATGCATTAATGCGACACATTTCATATGGATAAATGGATAAATTATACCACAATAATATAAAAGCCATGAAACTTTATGTGTCTAATACTATAGCTTTGAATATGTAAAGTGAAAACTGACAAACTACAAGGAATAAATTGCCAAATCTCCAACGTATCAAGTGGGTGAAAAATAAGGATATAAATGATTTGAGCAACAAAATCAAGCTATGTATATGGGGAAAAGAGAAAAACTTAGTGTGCAGCAGAGAACATACATTCCTTTCAAGCATACATGGAATATTTACAGAAATTGACTCTATTAGACCAGAACAAATCTAAAAAAAATATCGACACACTATGCTCTGTGATTACAGTGAAATAAAATGAGAACTTAACGGCTGGGCACAGTGGCTCACACCTATAATGCTAGCACTCTGGGAGGCTGAGGCGTGAGGATTGCTTGAGGCAAGGAGTTTGAGACCAGCCTGAGCAAGAGAGAGACCCTTTCTGTACAAAAAATAGAAAAATTAGCCAGGCGTGGTAGTGTGTGCCTGTAGTCCCAGCTACTTGGGAGGCAGAGGGAGGAGGATCGCTTGAGCCCAGGAGTTTGAGGTTGCAGTTGAGCTATGATGACATCACTGCACTTTAGCCTGGGTGGCAGAGGTGAGACTCTGTCTCAAACAAACAAACAAACAAACAAAAAACAACCAAAGTCGAGAACTTAAAATCACCAAAAGTCTTTACATTTGTACGTTAAAATCATAATCATAAATAACTCTAGACGTAGTAATGAAACAGAAGTGGAAATGATAAACTACTGAATGCTAAACAATGAAAGTACTTCATATCAAACCTCACTGAATGTAACCAAAGCAGTACCCTTAATTTATCACAAAGTTAGAAAGACTAAAAGTAAATTAGCCAAGTTTAAAAAACACACACAAGGAAAGAAGTAAGCACTGATAATGTAGTAGGGAAAACTTGATAAAGATAAAAATAAAAATTAATAAAATAAAAAATGAACTAAAAAATTATAGTTGAATAAGGAAAATAGAAGATGATACTTTGAGTGAGAAGAGTTTGAAACAAAACTTGGCAAATACAATCAAGATAATGAGAGAAGACACAAATAAAATCAGTAAATAAAAAGGGATTATTATCATAATTAAAATTTTAAATTACAAGAGAACTATGAAACTATATTAGTATGGTTTGAAATTCCAGATAAAATATAAATTTATCATGAAACAGAAAACAAATTATTTAAAATTGTTCTGAGACAGTAGGAAACCTAAGTAGATAAATTACCATAGAAGATTTTACAATGTTAAGGATCTCTATGAAAAAGCATTGGCTTTATGGGTGGTTTTATAGTTTTATGGATAACTTCTACCAAGCTGGCAAGAAGAGATAATTCCCAAATTTTAAACTATTTCAGAGCATTTTAGAAAAAGGAAATTAAATTTAATAGCATTAATACCAAACCATCAAGGAGTGAAACTGAGAAGCTAATTCTAAAATTCATTTAGAAGAGTAAATTATTTATAAGTGTAGTGAAGATGATTTTTATAAAGAACAAAGATGGATATATTTTTTTTCTTATCAGTTTTGAAAACATTATAAAGCTATAGTAACTAAGAAGTGTGTTAATGGTGCAGGAATAGATAGTGGAACAGAAGAAAGTCCAGAAACAGAGCCATGTTTATATGGGAACTTTGAAATGCTGCTTTTTCTTTTGCTAATGACTTTCTGGTATTTTTGAAGATCATTGTGTCAATGGGCAAGATAGTGAGTTATTAGTAATTTCCAAAAGTAATAAAGCTACCTTAAATATTATTTCCTACTCTCAAACTTTACTTGCATTATTTGAAACTTTTCATCCTTTTTTTTAGATGCGGATTCTCATAAGAAAAACAAGAACATAACCAGAATTATATGTTGAAGGAAGATCTTATCATTACCTAATGTCTCACTGGGAGCTAATGTAATATCTCTAAAATAAGGTCATTTTAATCACATTAATGGGTGTTTTTTTTTTTTTTTTATCTTAGGGACTGCAGTTATGGGTCCTCCTGGGCCCGCTGGATTTCCTGGAGAAAGGGGTCAGAAGGGTGATGAAGGTCCACCCGGAATTTCCATTCCTGGATCTCCTGGACTTGATGGACAGCCCGGGGCTCCTGGCCTTCCAGGGCCTCCTGGCCCTCCTGGCCCTCACATCCCTCGTGGTAAGCTATATTTTTCTCCTGTTAGCTTCTATTGTTGTTTTTGTTTATTTTATTTATAAGTGAATCTAGCTGAAGTTTGGCATCATTCTTCATGTTTCAGATATCTAAGAGATTCTACTACTGCTTACACTTTTGATTTTGGGTGATTCATTGATGTTTTAAATTTGCTCTTCATATAGTGTTTATTATCAACAATATTATATTTTCCTTTTGCTTATAGGTACTTGTATTTCTGCAGAGAAGTAACTGAAAACAGGTCTCTTTTCTAGGTTGTCATGCTTTCTTTTAGCTTAGTCTTCTCAATATTTCACAATTAGTTTGCTATCCTCTCTTTATCTTACTCAGGTGATGAGATATGTGAAGCAGGCCCTCCAGGCCCTCCGGGATCTCCAGGTGATAAAGGACTCCAAGGAGAACAAGGAGTGAAAGGTTTGATCTCCAAACATATTCATTCCTTCATTCTCTTCATTCTTTCAGATCTTCAGCAAAATCCCCCGTATCCTCGATCTTACCTTAGCCATTCACTCCCTAGTCATACCCCAAGACCATTTCATTACCAAGTGTTACATTTTCATGATATTAATTTGTTAAATCCCATTTTTGGATCACTATCTTCTGTCTTTCTCACTACCCCTAAGAACCTGACTCCAATATTACTTAAACCCCACTGAGACCTACCAACTTTGACTAGCCCTCAACTTTTTGCTGTCCTTTCTTCCCTCAACCTAGTTTACATTCCATCAATCATTATAATCAATCCCATGCATTAATCTTTGACTCTTTTGTCCTTCTCTTCCTTCATTGCACTCACTTGGAACAAAAGCATACCCCTGGTAATCCCACATTTCCACCTCTTCTGAGCCTTCACCTTCTCTTCTCTTTTTTAAACTTTTAACACTTCCTCCCCTATTCTCATTTTAAGATTTTTACCTTGCTTCCTCCTTCACTGATCAATTAAAGTAATAACAAGAGAACTTTCGCAGATTGCCGTCACTACATTTATTTACCTACTTGCATCTGTGACTCCATATTTTGCCTTCTTGCCTGTTACTGGTACTGCTGCTATCTAAAGCCAGTTCTTTTATTTATACAATAGATTTCATTCCCTCTTGTTTCCCCAAGGATTTTATTCCAGAAATTTTTGCCTCTTCCACATCATCAATTTTTACCTTTCTACTGGATCATTCTCAGCGGCATACAAATATGCGTTTTTCACTCATCCAATACTTTATAGTAATCCCACTTTTCCTGCCATTTGCTGTTTTCTTATTCTGCTCCCATTTGCAACAAAACTCCTTAAGAATTTTCTACCCACTATCTCTAGATACTCTCCTTCCATTTTCTCTTGAACATACTCCAGTCAGGATTTCACCCCCGACCCCCTGCTGCCTACCACTCCACAGACGCCAGTTAAAGCCACCAGTGGACTGTGGTCTGCTAATCCAAATGTCAAGTCTGCCCTTTTCTTACTTGCTTCTTCCCTTCTTTAAACACTTTATTCACTTGGCTTTCAGTACATTACATTTCCCATTTTTCTTTATATATCCCTGGCATATATACATATCCCACATAACTACCATCTAAACCAAAATATAGAACACTTCCAGGACCCTTGAAGACTCTTGTGTGCCCCCTAGTCAGTATCCCCAAAGGTAACCACTATTTTATCCTCTAGCATACATTAATTTGCCTAATCTTGAATTTTGTATAAATGTAATTATATTGTGTGAGCTCTTTTATGTCAGATTTCTTTTGCTGAATATTATATATGTGAGATATATCCACATTTTGGTTTGTAACCATAGTTTTTCACCACTCTTTGGTATTGCATTGTACAGATTTACCTTAATATTCATTCTAATGTTGATGGACATTTGATCTGGAGCTATTATGAATAAAGCTGCTGTGAACATTCTTGTACATGTTTTTTGGTAGGACATAAGCACTAATTTCTGTTAGGGATATACCTAGGAATGGAATTGTTGGGTTATAGGGTAGGTGTAGGTTTTGTTTCATAGATATTACTAAACCATTTTCCAAAGTTATTTTAGTTTACACTTCCCTAATGACTTATTGATGATGAGCTTCTTTCTTATGGTTTGTATATTCTCTTTTGTTAAGTGCCTATATTTTCTTCTTTTTTAATTTGGTCGTTGGATATATGTATTACAACTATCTTCTCCCATTCTGGGACTTGCTTTTTTTTATGCCTCATATAATCTTGGAATGACTTGCTTTTTTATTCATGCCCTTTGTTAAAACTTATTAATTAAATTAAATCAAATTTATTACTGTCCTGTTTTATGGATTAGTGTTGTTCATGCCCTGTTTTAGAAATCTTTGCTTATCCCAAAAGCCTGATGATATTCCTCTGTATTTTCTTCTCGACACTTTATTGTTTTACCTTTTAAATTTTGATCTTTGATCTATTTACATTTAATTTTTGTGTACAGTTTGAAACAGGGAATCAAAGATTGTATTTTTTCCCATATGGATATCCAATTGACTCAGTACCATAGTACAAAAGGCCATCAATTCCCCACTGAATTGTATTAGTACTTTTGTTGTAAATCATATGACCATATATCCGTGAGTCTGTTTCTGACTTTATTCTATTTTATTGTTCCATTTATCTCTTTGTGCCAATACCAGACTGCCTTAATTATCATGGCTTTATAGCAAGTCTTGGATATTCTAGGCTCTTTGCATTTCCATATACATCATAGAATTATCTACCCAACTTTTAATTTTCAAATGCCTGAGGGTTCAGTCCTTGTTCGTCTTTCTCTTCTCTATCTAAATTCATTTATCCAGTCTCATGCCTTTTAATACCATCTACTTGCCAGTGACTTAAAAATTTATGTCTCGTATTCAGATATAACTCTCTTCTTTTAGATTTGTATATCTAACTGCCTACTCAACATTTTGAACTTGATATCCTGATATCTCTGCTACCTCCTCCCCCATACTTGCTCTACTTACCTCTTCCCCTTCTTTTTTATTATTTATTTATTTTAAAATATTTGTTTATTTTTTAATACCTTCTTACTTAAAAAGCAGGCCATCTAGCCTTCTAGTTGCTTGCACTAAAAACATTGGCATTATCCTTGATTCCACTCTTCTTTTGTATTCCATATATGATCCATGAGAACATCTCATTGGCTCTACTTTCAGATATGTCCAGAATCTAACCAGTTCTAATCATCTTCATTGCTGTCACCATCTCTCCCCTGTTCCAGTTTATTTTAGCTCTTATGGCCCCTGTACTAATCTACCTGCTACCATGGAATATTTACAACAGCTCCTAAGCGGGGGAGCCAGTCATTGTAATAGGAGCTCAAGATCACTGCAGCAGTGGCCACTTAAGTGGTTACCCTGCTTCCATCATTGCCCTTAAAGTCTGTTCTTAACATAACAGCCAGAGTCATCTTTTTAAAACTTAAGTTATATCATGTTGCTTTTCTGTTTAAATTCTTCTGATAGATTCTCATTTCACTCACAGTAAAAGCCACAGTTTTTACTATGGCCTATATAGTATAGTATACTATGATATGCCAGTTGTTAGAAACTTAAATTTCTGACCTGGTTCTCATTCTTCACTCTTCTCCAGTAATCTAGTTTGCTTGCTGTTCCTTGTATATGCCAAATGTGGCTATGGTTTCTGCTTGGAATGCTCTGTATGCATTATGCACATGTCATGACCTTTAAATTTTTATGATCACATACATCTTCTCAATGAGCTGTATCCTGACCCCCCAATTTAAAATTGCAACCTGCCACTCATCCTTGGCATACTCAATCCCACTTACCCAGCTCTACTTTTCCAATAAACATAACATCTTTTAATATTAT